AATAATATTTTAATAATTAATAAATTAATTAAATAAAGAAAATTCTAATTAATTAACTCACATCATAAATTATATTAATCTGCTTAATAATATATTTTACGTTAATTAATATTAAATATAAAATTAATTTTAGAAGAGCAGGCGAGCAGCAAGATGCCGAAGGTACGTAGCTCACAAAGAAATTAAAACAAAGAGGTGGCGACAGAAGCTCCTACATCAATCCAAGCCACGATGATGAAAAAACCAGCGAGGAAGTCGCGAGTGCGCCGACTGAAACCCTCAACGAAAAAGGAGGAGAAAGTCGTAACAGGCAATGAATTCTGTGCTTACGTTCGTCTAAATACCAAAAATCCGCAGAACTCCCGGATTTATAAACCGAATTTGATCAACCAGACAGAAAACGGGATTTAAGAGACCCTTGGATTTAACATGGACCTCCATATTCTTGGCAGGCTTTACGCCTAATAAATCCGCTGCCAAAAGCTATAGGAAAAGGCAGATATATACAGAGTATAAAACAAGAAGATGAAATGAAAAGCGCCGGCAATAACCGGACAATCGTTCCTAATGATCGCGCAAAATATCAAAATCTCGCTTGGATATAGAAGGAACCTTACCATCGACGATCGGTTCATCAAAACCACCCATAAACAACTTTATAGTATTTATCCTTTAGCCATCTGATACTATTCTTCAGAGAGCCCTTGACCTTGCCCTCGACAGAATAAACCTTATAGCCTGCGATCCTTTTCCTCCTCTGGATCTCCGGGTCGTTGAACCACCCGCCCTTGAAGGAACAGGCACCCTTAACCTTCTTCAGCCTCATCTCCTTCTGAGAGTAGGAAGAGGCGTGGGAAGTATTGTAGCTCCTCGGATCAAAGGAAGGAGACGGTGGACCCCAGGACCCGTAGGACTCTATCTGCATGCCAGCATCGGCATAGGACCTCGACCTTTTGTCCTCCATCAGAGGAGAGAAACCCTAAGAAAATGGAGGAAGAGAAAGAAGAGAGGAGAAAGAGGCCTCTCCTCTTTTTGCCTGTTCGGCGACAAATAAGATTTACTAAAAATCTGTAATTCTGGATTTACAGAATATTATTTGATAACATAGTTGGTTAAATTTTTTTAGTGATGTAATTTAAAATTTAAGATGATTAATTTATTTAAAAAATAAATTTAATATGTTTTAAATTTAGTTTATATGTTAAG